TGCACCACGAAGGCTTGGGAAAAAGACTGCGAAAGTAATAGAATGGGGTGGATCATGTTAAGATATTATCAGACGAGGTTATGTACAACAAAGTATATAGTTCTACTTAATACAATAAAGATGTTATTCTCCATCTTAATCCAAGATTAAGTAGAATCATAGAGCCTTAGGGTTAGAAGAGACGACAAGGTCATCTAGCCTAACCCGCTGCCAGGATGCAGCCAGGATGTCTCTTAACTAACCAAGACAGATGGCTATCCAGCCTCTTTTTGAAAACCTACAGTGAGGAAGCTTCCACGACTTCCCTAGGTAGCCTGTTCCATTGTTCTACTGATTTTACCGTTAGTAAATTTTCCCTGAGATTTAATCTAAATCTGCTATGCTGTAGTTTGAACCCTTTGCCTCTTGTCCTACCCACTGTGCCAAGAGAGAACAACTTTTCTCTATTTTTTTTTATGGCAACCTTTTAAGTATTTGAAGATTGCTATCATATCCCTCCCCGCCCCCTTAATCTCCTCCTTTCCAAACTAAACATACCGAGTTCCTTCAGCCTTTGCTCATATGGCTTGCATTCCAGCCCTTTGATCATCTTTGTCGCTTGCCTCTGGATCCTTTCTAATTTCTCTAGATCTTTTTCTATACATTGGTGACCAAAATTGGACACAGTACTCCAGCTGAGACCTAACCACCACCCAGTAGCTGGTACTATCACCTCCTGTGACTTGCATGCTATGCCTCTGTTTAATGCGGGGATCGGCAACCTTTCAGAAGTGGTGTGCCGAGTCTTCATTTATTCACTCTAATTTAAGGTTTTGCGTGCCAGTAATACATTTTCACGTTTTTAGAAGGTGTCTTTCTATAAGTCTATAATATATAACTAAACTATTGTTGTATGTAAAGAAAATAAGGTTTTTAAAATGTTTGTTTCATTTAAAATTAAATTAAAATGCAGAGCCCCCCGGACTGGTGGCCAGGACCCGTGCAGTGTGAAATCAGCACGCGTGCCGCCTCCGGCACCAGGGCTGGCTCTGGTTTTTTTGCCGCCCCAGGCAAAAAAGCCTCCCGCCGCCCCCCCCCTCCCCCTCAGGGAGCGCGGCAGGGGAGGGCGGCAAGCCCGCCGCGGCTCCACTGGCGGCTGGAGCGCCGGGAGGAGGGTGGAGAGCCTGGCTGGGGCCCCACTCTCCCCGACCAGCCGGAGCGCCGCAGGGAGGGTGGTGAGCCCGGTTGGGGCTCCGCTCATCCCGGCGGCCGGAGCGCCACGCCGCCTCCCTCCAGGGGCCACCCCAAGCACATGGTTGGTGGGCTGCTGCCTGGAGCCGGCCCTCTTTGGCACGCATGCCATAGGTTGCCTATCCCTAGTTTAATGCAACCCAAAATTGCATTTGCTTTTTTTTGCAATTGGATTGCTGACTCATGTTGAGGATGGGATCCACCACAACTCCCAGATCCTTCTCAGCAACGGTGTTGCCAAGCCAGTTATCCCCCATTCTGTGTTTGTGCATTTGGTTTTTCTTCTCTACATGTAGCACCTTACATTTGTCTTTGCTGAATTTCATTTTTTGTCTATAATGCAGTTCTCCACTTTATCAAGATCTCTTTGAATTTTAACACTATCCTCCAAAGTGCTTGCAACCCCCTAGCTTTGTGTCATCTGCAAATTTGGTCAGTATGATCTCTCTGGATCATTAATAAAAATATTAAACAATACTGGACCCAGAACAGATCCTTGTGGAACCCCACTTGAGACTTCCCTCCAATCTGACGTCATTCCATTAATAATTACTCTTTGTTTGCTGCTGATTAACTAACTATGTATCCACTTAATGGTAGTTCTGCGGCGCCCACATTTCTCTAGCTTATTTATGAGAAAGTCATGTGGGACTGTGTGACGTAAGCAGTGACTTGGGGGTCAGTGATTATGTGGTGTGTGATTTGCACCCAAGCCAAAGAAATTACTTACAATTGTACACAGAAACAATCCATAAAATTTGCGTGAATGTCTGTTGCAGAACTCAGCGAATGTTCATTAACCTGGGTAAACAGCATTAGTTTTGTAAGCATCTCCATTGGATGTGGCAAGCAGCTAACATCTGATTTAAATTAAGTCTTCAGTACCTTTGTATTGGGGAAACCTGATCTGGGACACTATATAGTAAACTGTAGCCAGACTCTGCTACAGAATGGCATCTCAAGAGTGGATCCATCCCTGTGATTACCATTCTAGCCACTGAGGGCCAGCTGTGGGAGTTTCAAGTGGGCTCTACAGAAGATTTCTTGGTAAAAACAGACGAGAATCCAGAAAACCTAGTTGCTTCTGAGAAAGAGAAGATGCAGACTTGTTAAAGTAAATACTCAGTTGTTTACCTGTTCAGAGAGAGAGAGAATCTTTGTCAGGCAATAGTGTTAAAATGCTGTAAATATTTGTGGTGGCATATAAACGGTTTGCCTACAAGAAGCGCATAGACAGGAAGCTTGTGTGGTTGCATGTTTCATGTGTTGGGGGAACTGGGAATTTGAGGCAAGATTTAAAAACGCGTCCAGCTGGAAATGTGAGAAGGAGCATGAATCTTGTCATGCATTTATCTGACTGGAAAGGCCTTTCTGAGTTGAATTAACCACATGATTTAGTGCAAAGTAATGACCATTTTGTTATGAGAGGGCTACTCTTAACACATTTCATCTTGCAGCAAAATAATCAGAAATCAGAGTATTGTGGTTTGGCTAGAACATACAATTTCAGTGCCTCATATTCCACTGTCTTTGCACTTTCTGTCATCATTGACACCAGTGCAAAGTGGTTATAAAATGCTACTAAATCCAGGGGGGACATGTTTTACACCTGCCTTGCACTGGTAGAAATGACTGCCCAAGGTGTTACGCAGTGGAGAATCAGGCTGTAACATTTTCATGCTTAATAGGGTTATTCACAGGCCTTCGACTGAAGAAGGGAAGTTACTGCAAAACATTATATTGTGAAGCGTTTGCTCAGTAACTGCTTTATAGTTGCAACTGAAGGTGTTTTTTCTAAACAGCCTGGAACTTTTTTTAAAAATGTGGTTCTAAAGCAAGGGGTAGGAGCTTATTTTAAGGTTACTGGGGCATGTGGATATGGACTCCCTGGGAAAATGGTTTACAATGTCTATGGTGGGCTCAGGTATCTCTCTTCCCTTTTATTTCTCCTAGCATAAGTTAAACACAGCGGGCCTCATTCTGCAGTCACACTGCTGTAAATCAGGAGAAACTCCACAGAAGCCAGTGGAGTTACATCAGTGCAAAAAAAGTGGTGTGTGTGAGAGTGTGCAGAATCAGGCCCAGCACGAGTCAAGAACCTGATCCCCAGCTGTGGCTGAGACTGGCATAATGTTGCTCAGGAGACAGAATAGAAATGTAGCCTTTATACTTCCCGATCCTAGACTGGCTCAGAGCTAGAGCCTGTTAGAGCAGCCTTGGGGTCACCCTAGCTTGTTTTAGCGGCCAACCAAGGGACTTCTACAGCACCACAAGACTGCTGGGGTGAAGGGAAGCTATGCCCTAGTTGTACCGGTGCACTGGCTGCAGGGAGGTGGCATCATACCTGTTTATACGGGTCATGGGAGATGACCATATGAAGGTGTGAGCCGCTACACCACCTTTCGGACTGCTTTGTGATGCCACGGTATCCAGCTGTTGCAGTGCAACTGAAGACTTAAGGAGGGACGGTTCAGCGGTGAGGGCCCTAGCCTAGGCTAGGACTTGGTCCAGTTCCCTGTGCTGTCACACTTCCTGCATGAGCTTGGGTTAGTCACTTAGGATCTCTGTGCCTCAGTTCTCCATCTGTGACAGTAGCAAATTCCTACCTCACAGGGGTGTTCTGAGGATGAATGCATTAAAGTTTCTTAGGTATTTTGGTCATGGGGAGCATATAAGTACCTTTAATAGATTTAGTGATAAATCGTTGGGATCTGTCAAGATACCCACAGCGAGGAAAAAAAGGTGATAAATTCTGCTTTCTCTCCTGCTGAAATCAGAATCCTATCCAAGGTACATAGTGAATTGGTGGTTGGGACAGTTACATTAATGATGCATGGACTGAGTAAGGAGGATAGTGATCAGACACAAGGTTTTCCTGGCTTACATACTAAAGATGATTAAACATATTGTAAAATGAACACTGCAGCGAAGGGAGTTGTACTGGTTTCTAGGCTGGAACTGTGTGATGGTATGGGAGGCAGGAGATTTTTATGCCGTTATGAATTCTGAAAAATCTTGGAGGGCAGTTAGGTCCTAGTCCTGCAATCAAATCCATGTGGACAGATCCATTGAAGTTTAAAGGGGTGCTGTTTGGATTCAGTGGTCTGCTCACATGGATCCAGTTGCATGCTCAATGACTTTGTCATTAATGGATAGATGGATACTGTCTGATGCATTATGGTTGACTCTGCATGGGATGTTACTTACCAGTTTGAGGTAAAGTCACATTAAGTGATGATTACACAGAACCTGAACCCAAAACTAGATCTGAATGCCCCATGGGCTTTGGGGAAGTTGGGATGTAGCTCAAGATCCCAACTTGACACCTTACCTGCCTCCTTTCTATAATGGACTGAACCAGTACATCTCATATGTAGGGGAAATTCAGATACTTATGCAATCCCTATGACTCAACCTCATCTCAGATGAGAAAGCTGATTGCAATAATAGAATAAGTTATCCTTTGCAGACTTGACTGCTTTAGGCTGCCTTATAAGAATGGGAGTTTGAGATAGTGGGATCTTCAGTATTTGACACTCAAGGTAAGGATTCTTATTACAAACAGGTTTGTTGCTGTATTTTTTTTTTTTTGGTTAAATTTTTTTGGCCTGATCCTCATTATTAATTTTTTTTCTGGTTGGAGCAATGACTGAATTCTGCATACTGTATGGAAAACAAGCTCTCTATCAATCCCTCAAAATAAGTTTAGAAATAGAAAAGAATCACGCATTGAAAAACTCTTCTTAACTATATTACAATTAACCACTTAGGGCCTGATTCAAAAGCTCATGTGGCCACTTCTGTTGGGGACAGCAGGGAGCACTGGACTGGGAGTAAGGAGAAATGGGTTGTCTTCCTGCCTCTGCCACAGACTTCCCGGATGACTTTAGGTAAGTCATTTCACCTCTCTGCATACTTCTATTTCACTAACTGTAAAATAGGGTTAAAATGCTTACCTACCTTTGAGTCCTGTGGATGAAATGTGCAATGAAAGAGTTAAGGATTACTATTATTCATGATGGTAAGCCAGGATGGATAAAGGGCTGCACAGTAATAATGTGTGAATGCCATCTGTGACCTGGTTGTTGGGATGATTACTGTATGAATATGCTGGTTTAGTTGAATAAGAAGTTGTAAGTGAAACAATGTCTCAAGATAAGCCAACCCCAGAAATCGTTTGAGTTGTTCAGAGAAAATGACCGAGCAACTAACTGTGAAGATTCTACCTCTCGGCTCCAGTCAAGTTATAAAACTTGTTTTTGCCACACACGGCCCAAGAGGGAGGCATCAGATAAAAAGTGGGCATCTTGCATCCGAGGAAGTGGGCATTCACCCATGAAAGTTCATGCTCCAATACATCTGTTAGTCTTAAAGGTGCCACAGGACTCTGTTGCTTTTTACAGATCCAGACTAACACAGCTACCCCTCTGATATCAGAAAAAAAGGAACTCTGGCTGGACAAAATAAAGGACTCTTCCTTTCTGTAAGGGAGTAGCTGTCGAGGCTGTAGTTGGTGACCTGTGTAGACTGAGGTGCAGGACCCGCTGGGTTGTCTAAAGAAACTAGGCCTCGGTTTGTAGAGATGTACAAATACTTGATTCTTCTGTTTGATGGCAGTTCTGAAAAATTGGGTGGTAGTGGGGAGTTGATGGTCAACCTGAAACAAATATAATGGTATTTTTTCAGCTAATCAAAACATCAGAAAAAAATTTAACTTTGGGTTGAATGAAACAATTAAAAAAAAGTAGAAGTCTAGATTCACAAGAGCAGTTGGGTGTCTTTGGGATTAATAAAATGCAGGCTGAGGTGGTGGGGACCCCCATCCCTTGCCCTAAAGTTCAAAACACTCATCTGGCATGTGGGAGAACCAAGTTTGAAATCTCTCTCTGGAGCAGAGACTTGAACTTAGATTTGCCCCCACCCAGGTGACCCAAATTATTATTATTCTATCATTTCATTTCATTGCAAGTTTTTTGGCTTTTCATCCTGATTGGGATGAATTTTTTCTTCATAATCTCACAATTGTTATGGGATAGAAAACTCTTTTCCATTCACAACACTGCTGGAAGATGTTTAAATCCCGAAATATCTTTATTTTAAATTTAATTAGTAATTTAATAAACTCACAAGATCATTTCTCCTTATACAGGCTTTTTGAATGCTTTTTTATTTAAAACTACAAAAGGACTTTTTTTTTATCATGAGCTAAATTGCCATGTCTCTAAATATGTACCTATTATAAAGAAAAATCAAGACTGCCTAGATATGTCTGGATGTGGTGGTTTGGGTTGTTTGTTTCCCCCTCCCCCTGAGCTGCAAATGTAACTTTTTTTACTTTTTTACTAGCATAAATGAAATATATTCACTCTGCTTTGATGTTACCTTTCAAGATGTACTGCTGTATTTTGGTATATAGTGAATGACTTTCTTTTTGCTTGTCTTTTTCAAAACATAAGTTCCATTGGGAATACACATCTGTGATTAACCTCACTTCTTTACACCTGTCACTCATAAAACTGATGCCAGCTGCAGAATCTATCTTGGGTTTAAAAACCTTGACACTCAGGAAATTGACTTATAAAAACATTCTGAGGTAGAACATGACTAGTGTGTAATTTTTTTTTACTCATTTATTTATGCTGTGTATGTTTTGTGTTTTTGTTTTTTGACTCATTTGATTGCTAGCATATCACGACTAAGGAAAAGCTCGTGCAACGAGATGAAATACAGAGGGGTCCCCCCCCCCATTGCCTTCAGCAGTAGATTGACTGTTGGAACTCTCTGGAGCATTGCTGGAAGGTCTGAGCAGATTCATGTTGCACTCAGAGTATGAAGCTGTTGAAGTCAATGGAAAGACTCCCATTGACTTACAAGTAAGTTAGAGCTAGGCCTTTAGCACTGTGACCAGCCCCATTCATTCAAAGAAACATGTCAGCCTCCCCCAATATCATGAGATTTTTTAAACAATGGGGTTCACTTAATTTATCTTCAAGTTTCTGAGACTTTAGGGTGCATGAAGGCTAGAAACTATTTTTTAATGGAGGATGACATTCTCACATAATTGCATGATTTCAGGAGATGAGACCTTAATATAAACTCCAGATATCATGAGGCTGATGGCAAAATAGTGAGATACGGCAACAATATCTTTGCCACTGGGGGCTGGGAAGCTCTTACCAAGGCCAATCTCGTCCATGGATCATACCATCATAAATCAGCAATTAGCTTCCATCCCTCCTAATATTCAGTTATGGTTCATGTTCAAGTCTGTTGTTGCCATCCATAATGAAGAGAGGTCATGTCTCTCCCTGCTGGATTTATACTTGGAATATAAAATAACAGTGAAGAAGGAAGGCTTTGTGATTGATGTGTGACAGCCACCATCTTGGCCAATGCCAAAGATTGAACTAGGGATCTCCAGAGGCAAATTAGGCACCGAGGGAGACAGAAGACACACACCATGAACTATCTTCTCTCCCTCCCACCGCCCTCCCCCTCCCCAGTGGACTACCAAGGCAGTAGACAGGACTCAAGAAGTATGTATTCAATTCCTAGTTTTGCTACAGGCTTCCTGTGTGACCTTGGGCAAGTCATTTTTGTTCAATACCTCAGTTTCCCCAGTGGTAAATGGAAACAGTTTCTCATACCCTTTGCCTATTTTGATGGCAAACCGTTGTTGGCAGGATCTGTGTCTTACTATGTGTATATGTAGCGTTTAGCCCAATGGGTCCCTGATCAGGGTAGAGGCCCCAAGGTGCTACTGAAATATAAATAATAATAGCAACTGCTTGGGAGTTACTGGCTAATGTTGACTTCATAATGGGGGTGGGTGAGGTGTGAGAAAAGATTCAAGGAATTGAAGGAATAAGCATCTCATGAAATGACAAGGCTGTTCTCTCAATTCAATCACTTGTGATTTAAGAACTGCAAGACCTTTAAACACGTGGCAAATGTCAGGTCAATTTACTTCTGCAGGATTTTGTTTAGAAATAAAGCTGCTAGAAAACAACCTGATCTGGTATTACCTTGAGTCAGGTGAGGCCATTTAAAAGCAGGATTCATTGTTAAATCAATTGTACATAAACTTTTTCTGTGTAATGAGTGGATGAGTCTTGACTCCAAGGGTGAGAAGTCATGGCAGTACAAATCAGATTTTTCTTTCCCTAAATGGCACTTTTTTTTAATATGGGGGCGGGAATACCCCAGTTTCAATTTTCTAAAACCTCCTGGGTTTCTCTGCAAGTTACACTTTGAGATTAGATAGAGATCCAATACTGCATTAGGTTTCTCTTACACTTCCATTAAGATGGAATTGACACTGAAGGAGTTGATTGAATTGCAGCCAAACAACAAAATGGCATACTGAGGTTTTCAGAGCTGATTCCAGCCCTTCCCCTCTCCCCCAGCACACACAGACATGATCATTCTTTATCTTAAAAAACAAAAACAAAACAAAAAAACCCAACACCCCCAAAAAATATAACCCAAAGGAAATTCAATTAGCCCACAACACTGCAATAGGAACAACTGTCTAGCTGAGTCCAGGCACAAAATTGACTTGCTCGTCCTAACACTGATTTTGTGCAAGTCTAATGCTGTAAGTGAATAAAATTTTCCAGGGCTAAGCTAACTTATGCAACACACAAATCAAGATGTTAAAAACCTAGGCACATTGGAGCCTGAGCATATCACTGAAAACGATGTGTCACTGGAATTAAAATGTGTTGTAATACCTTGGTACCACAGGATGGAGTTACAGCTTTAACTTTGGATTTTCTTAGTCAAACTACTAATGTTGTTTTACTGCATTGTGTACTTTGACTGCTGCGTAAAATTACATTGGGTGAGATTCTTCCTTGTGCAGAGGGCCAGAACAGGGCTTACATATTACTTATGTCCCATACTTAAACCATATTTTGAGGATTTAAAGTGCTACATGGGTCTTGTGTGGGTGCACAGAACAGCACTCAAAAAGAACAGGAGTACTTGTGGCACCTTAGAGACTAACAAATTTATTAGAGCATAAGCTTTCGTGGACTACAGCCCACTTCTTCGGATGCATATAGATCCAAGGGGGGTTTGGATCTGTATTCACCAGGGAATTGATGAAGGTTTTTCAAGGCTTCCCAGGGAGGGAATCCATTGAAAATATGCATCCGAAGAAGTGGGTTGTAGCCCACGAAAGCTTATGCTCTAATAAATTTGTTAGTCTCTAAGGTGCCACAAGTACTCCTGTTCTTTTTGAGGATACAGACTAACACGGCTGCTACCCTGAAACCTGTCAGAACAGCACTGAATTTCACCCATTGTGATTAAGGATGGAGGAACTAGTACAGGCAAAGTAACAATTGTCCAATTCATGCAACACTCATAAGTGAGGTTCTTACCCACGAAAGCTTATGCTCCCAATACTTCTGTTAGTCTTAAAGGTGCCACAGGACCCTCTGTGACTTCATAAGGTTTAGTTCAGTTGGATTAAGGAGTTTTTTCTCTAGACTGCCCCTCATCAGAAGCCTCTACATACACACACACAGCATTGCATTTTGTATGTGACTGTAGTCTTTAAAGGAGCTGGCTCGACAGCCCTTGAGACTGAAGTCTTCTCTTTTGTGCAGATGTACTCCACGGGCAATGACATGCAAGCTTCCGCCCACCAATGGGAATCAGCCCAGATCTGCTGGGACCACCTATGTACATAAGATGAGAATTCAGCCTCTATGGCCAGTTAAGTCCTTGGCCTCTCTGGACTGGTAGCTAGCAAGAAGGGCTATTTGTGCCAGTTGTGTAAGTGACTTCTGGGTTGTGGACCCCTGTCTATGGGGAACTGAACGGGGACCCAAAGAATTGTTTAACATAGGGACACCAGAAAGTCTGTAGATAACAGCTATCAAGCATTACCGACCTGCGTCAGATATATAGATGAGTAGCCTAGCTTCGAAAAGCTCAGAGCCATTTTAAATCCCACTCCCCATTTCCTCCTCTCTCTCAGTAACCTTACATAATTGCAGAGCCTGTCTTAAACAATCCTCTGCTTTGCTGCTCTGCGTGCTCCTGTGGCTGATGGAGCCAAATTTCTCTCATCCTGTTTTTAGCCTTGAGTCTCTATTAGCAGTGAGGGTTCTGATACGGAGTCAGATGGATCTTGAAATACTTCTTTGCATAGGGAGATGGGATTTAAGAATACGGACAGGATTGAGGTCTAGGATGGCTGGAGAAAAGTCTTTCCTAAAGACTTCTGTTAGAGTGGGAAGGAAGGTTGGAGACATCTTGTTAAGAAGCTTTTTTTCAGTCAAAGAACGGGGCTGAGGGACTAGTCTTGCCCCAGAACTTACCTCTTTGGGTCAGGGACTAACTTTTGCTTTTGTATCATAAAGGCATGTAGCATAATGAGGTCTTGGACTGTGAATGCAGTGCCTAGGTGCTACTGCTATAAAATAATACCTGTTGCTGACATGCTTGCAGAAGCATCCCCAGAGGTAAAGGGCAGGGCCTCACAAGGTCTTGATGCAATCTTTCAGTCATTTAAGTGGGTTGTGGCTACAAGGCACAGGACTGGGAATCGGAAATTCTGGCTTCTCTTCCTGGTTGTGCCACAGATATAAGTGACCTTGGGCAAGATCAATCTGTTAGTTTCCCCCTCTGTGGAAGGGGGATTTATGGGATGACTTCACTCACATTTGCAAAGCACTTTGAAATCTTTATATGGAAAAGATGCCATAGAAGTTGACAATATTATTACTTCTAATCTGAACTCAACCTTTTGTGGTTTGTTCATTCAGTGGGGACACAGTAACTCTTCCTTGGGAATTTTGGAACAGTTCATGAGTAGAGCAGATTAAAACATTGTTGGTGGGAGAATTGTGAAAACATTTTAAGTTGTATCCATTTTGCATGGTTTGAAACAGACACTTTTAAAAACATTATTGGCACTTTTTGTTGACCCAAAAGCTGGTTTTTTCAAGAAATAAAAAATTGATAATTGTTTTTTTAAACAATTGTCAATTAAGAATTTTGATATGAATTTTAAATATGTTGTGAAATTTTACAAAATCCAAAAAAGTCCTCAGTTTTTCACAAAATGTTTCACTTTTTGGAAAAGAATATTTTTTTCAGTGAAAAAGCTCTGTTCGACAAATATTTTCACCAGTTCTCTTCATAAGACTCTGCATGACCCTCCCTTGTAGGGTCAGAAGAAACAAGTTACCATTTTTAAAATTTATTATTTGGCATTCAAGCTGACATTTCCTTCCCCACACTTTTTTTGTGAAAAGTTAAAAACATATTCCCATTGTTTTGACTCCAGGATTTTTCACTGAATATCAGACGCAAAGACAGTGACTGTGACTGTTTATAAAAATATCCTAGAAACCACAATCCTTTGTAGTGTTTTCTTTCTAATATTATAAAAAATTACAGTATTCAAAGAAGTCTTTATTATCACTATCTGAACTTCCTTGGGTTCTGGTCTTGTCACATCTCTTAAAGCTAAGCAGGCTCGGACTGGATGGAAAATCTCAAAATGAATTGGCATTAGTGAATCACTAGCTAGTATCTTTTCTCTGTGGCACTGCTCTCCAGCATAGTGGTATTGGCACGGTATCCTTTGGATGATGCATAAAACAAAGGTTGTTGGGAAACTATCCATTTATTAAAGTAATGAAAAGGAAGAAATATTGAGCACCATGCAAATACTATTTAAATACTGTGCTGTGTGGTTTGTTTTTTTTTTTTTTTTGTTCTAATTCATTCAATCCTAGATGCTAAAGCAAGAAGGGACCATTGTGCTCATCTAGTTTGACCTCCTGTAAAACC